TTTAAATGCCTCTATGGTCTTGCACCATCTTATCTTGCAGAGCTGCTATTACCCTATGAACCCCCGCGGACACTAAAGTCCTCTGGCACTGGACTACTAACAGTTCCAATAGTCAGAACTCACACTTACGGTGAGGCTTCTTTCCAGTACTATGGCCCCCGTCTGTGGAATAGTCTGCCAGAGAACCTGAGGGCCGCAGAGAATGTTGTTGTTTTTAAGAGCAGGCTCAAGACCCATATTTTTAACTGTATTTCCTGAACTGGTTCATTTCTGTTCAGTCTATACATTTTCCATACAATTTTATTTTATTTTATTTTATGTGTGTTGTTTGCTTTTATTTTGTGGGTTTATTGTTTATAATTCTGTACAGCACTTTGAGCTGCTTTTAGTATGAAGGGTGCTTTATAAATAAAATTGATTGATTGATTGATTGATTGATGACGATGTGGTCATATTGGCTTCATCAGATCGTGATCTACAGCTTTCACTGGAGGGGTTCGCAGCCAAGAACGACACAGCCAGGATGAAGATCAGTTCCTCCAAATCCGAGGCCATGGTCTTGAGCTGGAAAAGGGTAGAGTGCCCTCTCCGGGTCAGGGAGGAGGCACTGCCCCAAGTGGAGGAGTTCAAGTATCTTGGGGTCTTGTTCACAAATGAGGGAAAAATGGAGCATGAGACCGATAGGCGGATAGGTGCAACATCTGCAGTGAAGCAGGCGCTGTACAGGTCTGTTGTGGTGAAGAGAGAGCTGAGTCAAAAGGCGAAGCTCTAAATTTACCGATCGACCTATGTTCCTACCCTCATCTATGGTCATGAGCTGTGGGTTGTGACCGAAAGAACGAGATCTCAGATACAAGCGGCCAAAATGAGTTTTCTCCACAGGGTGTCTGGACTCTCCTTTAGAGATAGGGTGAGAAGCTCAATCAACCAGGAGAGACAGAGTAGAGCCGCTGCTTCTCCACGTCGAGAGTAGCCAGTTGAGGTGGCCCAGGCATCTAGTTAGGATGCTTCCTGGACACCTTCCTGGTGAGGTGTTCTGGACACGTCCCACCGGGAGGAGACCCAAAGGAAGACCCAGGACATGCTGGAGGGACTATGTTTCTCAGCTGGCCTGGGAATGCCTTGGGATTCCCCCAGAGGAGCTGGCCCAAGTGGCTGGGGAGAGGGAAGTCTGGGCCTCCCTACTTAAGCTGCTACCCCCCGACCCGACCCCGAATAAGTGGAAGAAAATGGATGGATGGATGGATGGATGGATAGACTTAGAGACAGCAACTCATTCACCATTTGCTCTTGCCGAGGTCAGATGCTTTTCCCCTCCTCTCCCTCTCTGTTTTGCTTTGCTGCTCTGTCTTGTGTGAAACCGCTTCTGAGCCTCTCTACATATCTTCCGAACCATAATTATGGACTTGATTTGATCAGTTGGATCCTCAACACAATTGATAACATTTCTTTGAAGAGAAGACAGGCTTTAGGCAAGCCAATTTACCCTGTTGGTATGCACACAGCTGGATATCTCATTGACTTGGAAGACTTGATGATGTGTCTATTCTCTGCTGCCATTTGTCGATTTTAAGGACACATTTATAATTGGATTTATGATAACTAGTTCCTGCTTTTTGGATTCGGTTGGTTGCTGGTTTATCTACAATCAACGAAGTCAACGGCAGCAAATTTGGACCTGATCGCACTACTTGCCTTTGTGATAGCTTGGTTCGTTCCTCGAGCACCCAGACTCAGTTGCTTTTGGCAGAATGGATCAGATCTTGGGGATTTTTCTCAGGCATGGTCCATTGGTGTGGCCATGCAATTTGGACATTTCGGAACTGAGTGGACCAACACAGACTCAAGGTAGATGTCATTATAGTTCTGCCTGTCCCCAAAACAATTGTGTGTTTATCTGAATTTGGATCCCCTGGCTGTCCTTGAAGGCCACCTTATCTGAATTTGCCAGGAGAATATGTAATCTGATGTCATCTGACGCTCTGCCACCCCCCACCCCCATCCACAAATTGCCAACTGATCAACCAGAGGAAACTAGCTGAATAAACATTGTTTCACCATTTCAGGACTCTTAGATTCCCATAGGCGTTGTCCTTGGCCATTCCACGACATACCTCAAGAATGTTTACAGATCTCACCGGAGGGAACTGGTTGATTATTCCATCCTTAACAGAACTCTTACGGTGCCCTCAAGAGCGTCCTTGGACATTACTCACTGCTCTCGTCGTCTCCCCCCTCTGCGGAATGTCTGCATCACTATGTGCAGTATTCAGATAAGATGACCTTCAAGGCCAGCCAAGGAAGCCAAATTCAGATAAACACACAGTTGTTTTGGGGACAGGCAGAACTTAATGACATCTACCTTTAGTCTGTGTTGGTCCACTCGGTTCCGAAATGTCCAAATTACATGGCCACACGTTCCATCACTAGTTCCTATTCTGTCCGACCATTTTTAATAACCTGTGAGTTTACATTAAATGACTACACAGTCACTGAGAGTAAATTTCATCTTAGTAGGTGCTTATCAAAAAACGCTGTAACCAAATTTAAACAATCTCTTCCATCAATGTTTCCCTCTGTCTTGGAGAGTAATACATCAGAGAACAGTGACTTAGATCATTTAGTTGATCATCTTACAACTTGAATGCAAACTTCACTTGATAAAACTGCTCCACTGGAAAAGAAAGTAATCAGTCAGAGGAAAATGGCTCCTTGGTTCAATTCTGAGTTACGTACTTTAAAGCAGGCATCTAGACACCAGGAGAGAAAATGGCGCTCTACTAATGTTGAAGAATTTTATTTAACTTGGAAAGATAGTCTGCTAACATATAAAAAACTCTCCATAAAGCTAGAACTTTATATTACTCATCTTTAATAGAGGAGAATAAAAATAACCCTAGGTTTCTGTTTAGTACTATTGCTAGACTAATTAAAAGTCCCATTTCTGTTGAACCATGTATCCCTACAACTATAAGTAGTGATGACTTCATGAGATTCTTTATAAATAAAATTATTTCAATTAGAGAGAAAATTCAAACCTTCCTTCTACTATCTCTAGTCCCCTGTCAAATGAGACAACTTAAACAATTTCACTAGAGCCTGATTTGTGTTTGGACAGTTTTTGTCCTGTTGAGCTCTCTGAATTGTCAAAAATAATAACCTCATCCTGAGGTTTTGGTTTTTGGACCTGAGCTCCTTAGGAATGATTTTTTTTTTCAGTCTTTCTACCTCCTTAGATGGCATTAATTTGGCCTCCAGTTCTAATTTTAAAATTCTTGGTGTTATTTTTAATCAGGACATGTCTTTTATCCCCCACATTAAAAACGTTACTAGAACTGCCTTCTTCAACCTGCGTAATATCACAAAAATTAGAAACATATAAAAATTAAGCAGAAAAACTGGTTCATGCATTTGTCACGTCTAGACTGGACTATTGTAATGGTTTATTATCTGGGTGTCCAAATACTTCTTTAAAACGTCTTCAGTTGATCCAAAGTGCTGCTGCCAGAGTCTTAACTGGAGTTAGTGGGAGAGATAATATCTCTCCAGTTTTGGCTTCTCTCCATTGGCTCCCTGTCAATACCAGAATTGAATTAAAAATCTTACTTCTAACCTACAAAGCTCTCAACAACCTAGCTCCATCTTATATTGCAGATCTTATTGTTCCATATTTTCCTAACAAAGCACTTTGCTCTCAGGCTGCAGGTTTACTTGTGGTTCCAAGAATTTACAAAAACAGAATGGGAGGCAGATCTTTCAGTTATCAGGCTCCTCTCTTGTGGAACCAACTTTCAATCTCTGTCTGTGAGGCTGACACATTATCCAGTTTTAAGACTGGGCTTAAGACTTTCCTTTTTGATAAATCCTATAGTTAGGGTCGGCTTGGGTTTCCTGAGCTGTCCCTTAGTTCTGCTGCTATAGGCTTAGACTGCTGGAGGACAAACTGACCACACTTTTTCACTCTGCTACTGTCTTTACTTGCTCTGGTCAACCTGCTTTGTATTTGTAATTATTTTTTTCTATCCTTAACATGTTTTTTTGTCTTTCAGGCACACCTGGACCTATACCTGGACCTATATCTTGACCTACCATTCTGTGTTCGTCTGTCTCTCCTTTCTGTCCTCTCAAACCAGCCGGTCAAAGCAGATGACTGCTTGTCCTGAGCCTGGTTCTGCTGGAGGTTTCTTCCTTTTACAAGGGAGTTTTCCTTTCCACTGTTGCCACTGTGCTTGCTCAGGATGGGAGACTGCAACGAAGCCAAGATTCAACTTGTCTGCTGGATTCCTTAGATAGAGAACTTTACTAATTGGCTTTTATGTATGTGAATGTTCCTGTAAAGTGCCCTGAGACAACTTTGTTGTGATTTGGCACTATATAATAAACTGAATTGAATTGAAAACTGACATTCCTCTTTGTCTTTTTTCTGGCAGCTGCATTTCTAACATCCTTCTGTCAACATCCTTCTACCACTGTCCCTCGTCTGGACATATCCAAACCATCTCAGTGTGTCCTCTCTAACTTTATCTCCCAGTTGTTCAACCCATGCTGTCCTCTGATGATCTTATTCCTAATCTTATCCATCCTTGTCACTCCTAAGGAGAACCTCAACATCTTCATTTCTGCCACTTCCAGTTCTTTCTCCTGTCTTTTTGTCAATGCCACTGTCTCCAGACCATACAACATAGCTGGTCTCACCACTGTCTTGTAAACATTTCCTTTGGTCTTTGCTGACACCCATTTGTCACAAATCCCTCCTGAATCTTTTCTCCATCCACTCCATCCTGCCGTATTTTTTACCTCTTTACCACACTTCCAATTTTACTGGACAGTGTACCCAAAGTACTTGAAGTCCTGCATCTTTGTGACCTCTGTTCCTTGTAGCCTCACTGCTCCACCAGCCTCCCTCCAATTCACACACATGTACTTTGTCTTACTGATGGAAAACTGATTACTGAAGACAAATGTGTTTAAATAATTTAATGATGATATCAATGTTGCAGGAGTGAAAAGCTGCGATGGATGCATGCACTTACTCCTAACAGGCGCACACGATTCATGCCCTTTGGCCCCCATCAAGAAGGTGAGACAGTGAATCACACACACACACACACACTGAACTTCCAGGTTTGTGGACATATGTGAACTTAAAAATCACCTCTGATGTCCATCAGACTTTCCTCAGGTGCAGTGTATTATGTCCTACGCAGCTCAAGAACCAGATGAAATAGCAACTGAGATCGGTGATGTTTTTAATCTTCTTGAGCAAACAAATGATGGTATGATAAATTAATTATTCCAAAAATCTGTCATTGCTTATAAGAATTAGTTACAGGTTTTGTTTGTGATTTTGTGCCTCACATTTCTTTTAATCCATATGTCGTTCCTGGTGTTTTTTGTTCAAAATGTTCCAGGTTGGATGATGGGTGAAAGACTTCACGATAAGGAAAGGGGCTGGTTTCCCAATCGCGTGACAGAAGAAATCAAGAGTAAGGAGGCCCGTGTTCAGAACCTGAGAGAGGCATTTAGGGTCCAACAGACCCATAAAGGAGAAGGTGGGACACAGTCAGAACCCAGGACTGGTTTAAGGGCAGTAAGACCCTTTCCCAAGAGCTCCAACTTCACTAGTCTTTTTAAACACAGGGGTGACAACAACTGAAAGCAGAAGAAATACAGTTTGTAGCGGTGATGAATGTCAACATTGTGTATCATATCCACAAAGAAGAATCTTTTTTGTGACATTTTATTCCTTCATATTTGAATGATACTTCAAACTCCAGTGTTGAGTCAGTTAGCTGCACAAGCTGTTTTCCACCAACGTGTAGGCTTATATTTTGATTTTGTGCATCTAATTCATCTGGTTTGAAGAAACAAAAGTCCCTAAAGATTTTGTAGTCAAAATACTTAACATGTGGATACATAAAATTAATGTTTATTCCATTGTATAATATAGTCACTATGAACACAAGAAAAACGACACAAATTTAATGTACAATTGCACATTTGTCAAAAACAACACACTGCACTTGAATTCACTACAGTCAATTGTCTGTAAACATCTGGGATTAAATTGTGTTTGATTTAAAAGGGGAAATTTTATAGCAATAAAGACCCAGACATTAAAATGATCAGGGATGGAAAGCTGAAGTAGAGTTTATTGACAAATACTACATTCCTCCATGTAGTTGTTGATTCTGGCTGTTCTGCAGAATGATCTGAAAGTTGAACTTATAAATTAAATGCAGCTTTCAGATTCACATATGCATTTTTCCTTTTTCGGGTCAAAAAGTCTGCAACAAACTAAGCAAACTGAGCTTTAGCCTTGTTAAAAACCAAAAATATGACACTACAAACCCATTTTCTCCATTTGATTGTGAAGTAATAGGTTTTAAATCACACAAAATAATTTTTCTCAGATGTGTACTCAAGCATCGCCGTCATTATATCCTGCAGAACTCTTGTCAGTTCTGTGTCCATATACCATCAGTCCACATTTAGATGTATTTGATTAAACTGTCCTTGTTTTAAACACATTCATTTTGCTAATTAAACTTGATTTTGTAAACATTGTTATATATTTAGAACAATGTCTCTCTTTTAACCTGCATCGTGGAAGTACTGATCTGCCTTATCTGACCTCTCTCATGTAGAACTGATTATTGGACTTATTTCTTGTTCATTAGGGGAAGAAGCAGTAAAAGAGCTGTTCTAAGTGGGTAATTGTGTATGTATACAAATTATGTTTGTTTTTCAGTACATGTTTTTTTCTGTTTTGCAAAACTGCTTTGGTTTTCATGATACGGGTGATATTTGATGATTTACTGTCCTCCTCTCTGGTATCTGTTGTTTTGTTCATAGATATAATTACAGGGCAGCCGACTCGGGATCTGAAAGTCCCAGGTTCGATCTCCAGTCATTGCACATCTCGTGGTGTCTCTGAGTAAGACACCCTATCCCCAATTGCCCCCCGTGCGCCCCCAATAGCCACCCACTGCCCCACCCAAGTGCATCCCAGGAGTGATGGGCTAAATGAAGAGAACCAATTTCGCCATTGTATGGGAACATACAGTGATGACAACACATAACACATTATTATTATTATTATTATTAATTACAACCAGAGGAAGCTGAACTTATGGTTTCAGATTAGAAAAGTATTTTATGTTTAGTGGCTCATTTGAACAAAATCAAAGAAAAATCAAAGATTAACTTAGAAATTATATACTATAATAGGATATAGGAATAAACATATTAGGATAGAAATGTAATATAAACAGTGCAATTCACACAAACAAATGAGGAACCAAGAAAATGTGGTTGAAAACTTCCACTTGAAGAGACCATCAAAAACTTTATGGTTGGGTTCACAAAGCAGCAAAAGTGACTCAAATCCAATCCCCCCACCGAGCCCCATCCCATATTTGACCCATATTAGAATCTGTCATTACAGTCTGAACGTGACAAATCCAGGTTTTTCAAACCCAGCTCGGAAATTTTTCATATGTGGTCTTTGTCACACATATATATGATGGGTAATATGCAGCATTTCAGCATTGAAAAAGTACTTTCAGGTTTTTATGGTCAACTGCAATTTATTTTTCTGTTCACTGTTTTCTAATGACGTGAAGAATAAAAATAAACAGTTGTACATTAATAATAAAAAAAAATAATTTGATTACTATAATAAATATTATATAACCTTTTACCAGGTGTGTGTCCTTATATTCGTAGACATATCTGGGGTTTTCTGTTTTCAATAGAACCAAAACAACAAACATAGTTTGATTACTGTTTTCGTTAATTGATTTTAACAGTGTACATTACAAGTGGGATTTGTGTGAGGATCTGTGTGTTTTGTGTCTTGTTACCCTATTGTTTTACTGCTCTCCCTCGTGTTGCCAATTCCTACTGCACTTGTCCCTCATTGTCCTCTCCCATGTGTTTGTATTTATTTTCTTGTTAGCATCTTTTTATTTTTTGCATCTCTATGTTCCTCCATGTTTGTGCATTATCCTGTCAAAACTCATATCCTGTTTCCCTCTGTGTTTCAGAATCAGAATCAGAATGCCTTTATTGTCATTGCACAGAAGCACAACAAAATTACATTTCAGTACAGCCCGTCCAAAGAAACAAAAAAACAAACATGGGTAGACGGGGTGCCTGAGGCTGCAGCCATCATGGGGGGCACTGCCCTTCTCGTTAAGGGAAATGAGGGAAAGAGGAGGTAAAAAATAAAAAATAAAAAAAACATCTCACACTGTGTCCATAACGGGAAGTTTGAACAAAAAAAACCTCAGCACAAACAAAAGCAAAATACAGATGACATAATAAGACGTGTATGCATGTGGAGTGGGCAATGGTGGGAGGGTGGACTCCCAGCACAGGCTGCCCAAGTTCGCGATACAGCCACCTGGCACCTTTGCATATAACTTAGGTTACTACACCGGGAGGGAGCAGGGGCGCACAAAAAGAGGGAGGCCAGCAAAGGTGGTGAGTATGAAATTATCTTAAATAAAAGACAGAGTTGGGTGGACGGTCGGAGAAATGAATAAAAAAAAACTCACAGGCCGTTTCTGCTAGAATAATAATGTGTCATTTTTATTACACCGCCACAGATACAGCAAAGAAAAGCACCAGTACATTCAGTACAAATCAGATATTGATGTAAAAAGCCCCTCACGGTGACACCAGATCGGGAAGCCGTTTCAGTCCGAGTAAAAAGGTAACATCAATTCAGGCTGGGCATCGGATCAGGATCCACAGCAGACTTCAACTCTAATTCTGAGTGTCACACTTTAATACTCTCTGAATTACATGGAAATATCTCCCAGTAAACACAACATGCCCACCTGGACTTTAGAGTCTGTGAAAAACCCTTGAGATAGTGTGAGAGCGTGAGAAGCTTAAAAAACTCTAGATAACGAGGGAGCGTGAGAAGCTAGGGTGAGCAAAACCTCCAGATAGCGTACAGGAGGAGGCGGGCCGGGCCTCCTCCTCAGGCCTCTGGGTAACTCACAACATGTAAAAAAACTCACTTTATATCACAGGATAAAATAGTCAGAAAAACAACATTTTATTAGACTCTCAACTCAGTGCATGATGGTGCAATGTTTATCAGTTAGCCTCGAGAGAGCTCCAACACATAACGTCCAGGAGAATTTGAGATAGTCTGTCACGTTTCTGCTCCAACATGCCATGTTCTCCTTTCATTCATGCCCTGGCTTATGTTACAAAGTCTCTGTAATGCCTATCACCCATCCGGCAGCACTTCTTGCTCTGCTCACTTAACTACGCCCACTCTGTCGAGTCACTGCAATCAGCCCTCATGCAGCTTACCTTTTTTTCCCTGTACTTAAACCCCACAGTCACTCTACTCAGTGCCAGATTATTGAAAGCCTCACAGTGAGTAAATGTCCAGGATTCATGCCATAGACTTGATTGTCTTCCTGGTTTTCACCTCACGCCTGCTCCACGGATTCCTCAACTTGCTCTCTGCCTGTCTGTTTTGGATTATCTGCTCTGCTTATGGAAACAACCTCAGTTTCCTCTATAACGACCACGACATTTGGATCTCGTCTCAAGTTTGGCTTCGGATCTCTGACCACTCGTGTATCGACCTTGACTGTTTCTCTGAACCTGCCATTTGGATTTCCCTTCTTGTTGCTCACTGCTCAGCTCAATCTCAAAGCCAGCTCATCTTCACCACCGATGACAACACCAGAACCAACTCCTTAAAAGAATCACTCCCTCATCTGTCTGTGAAGGTTGGCGACTGTCATCAGAACAATCTGAACATTACAATAGAACTCCTGCTCATTAACTCTCTCCTATCTCTTCAGATTGTGTCGGCCCAAGGACTAAGACCGCCACCAGAAGCTGTTTATTAATACATTTTTAAACCTTCCTGCTGTCTGCGATCTGGTTTGAATCCCTAAACCCAGTTCTTGTCATAGTCAGCCTTCCAAATCTGACATGGGGGAACCAGATTCAGATAACAACAGTTTTTTTGGGTCAGGCCAACTAATTTCCCTCTGCCTTACAGTCTCACTGGTACATCTCAATGGCAACTCCAAATA